TTAGAGAAGATCCCATTTCGGGCTTCGCTTTGGGGCCCAAAAATAGGCCCCGAATGGGCCGTGAAACGTGGCAAGTGTGCTTTCAATTTTGCGGAGACATGCAACGCATGCACCACATGTTGGGTCGGGCGCAAAGATGTCAGCGGTCGCTTAAGACTGTTGGCAATAGCGTTATAACGGAACAAGTATTGCACATGACAAGCTGAATTGCAACTGCACCGACCGCTTGCCACGCAGCGGTGCATTTTTATTGTCTTGTGTCGGGAGCGGTCCTCACGTCGGGCAAAATTTCGGCGAGCTTCAAAAGTGTGTCTTCTCATCAGAAATCGCACAGTTTTTGGCCTTCATTTTGAGGCCAGAAATTGGGTCCCAAAACTGGGTCTGCCTGATTCGAAACTCTTAGAGAAGATCCCATTTCGGGCTTCGCTTTGGGACCCAAAAATAGGACCCCAGAATGGGCCGTGAAACGTGGCAAGTGTGCTTTCAATTTTGCGGAGACACGCAAAGCATGCACCACATGTTTGGGTCGGGCGCAAAGATAGTCAGCGGTCGCTTAAGACTGTTGGCAATAGCGTTATAACGGAACAAGTATTGCACATGACAAGCTGAATTGCAACTGCGGGGGCACTCAAACGTGTCCTACGCTTCTTGTGTCTTTTTGGGGTCTGATTTGGCTTCACTCGAGGCACATTCTCCAAACCCCCAGGCAAAGGGCCTGCCTTGTCCCAAATCAATAAAATGTTGTTGAAAATCCCCTTTCCCCCATGGCAATGTTGCAACACGTTGGTCATGTCAGACCGACCTTCAGCGTCCAACATTGCCATTGGGGGGCACACGCAAGGGCTTATGACCGGAGACAAGCATCCTTTTCCAGGCTCTTCAGGCTCCAAGCCCTTGCAATTTCAAGGTAGCTCTCAAGCTCGGGCTGCGCTGCTTACTGCGTTCTGCAGACCCTGCATGCAACACTGCAGCAACCTGCAGACCCTGCAGACCTGCAGCAAGCATGCGGACTCTGCAGCAAGCCTGCAGGCCCTGCAGCAGCCTGCAGCAAGCCTGCAGACCCCTGCAGCAAGCCTACAGCTGCAGGGTTTGTAGGCCCCTCGGCAAGCCTGCAGACCCTGCAGCAGCCTGCAGGCCAGCAGGGCCTGCGGGCCCTGCAGCAAGCCTGCAGACCCCTGCAGCAAGCCTGCAGACCCTACAGACCCAGATCCTGCAGCAAACCTGCAGACCCTGCCGCACGCCGCCCCTACAGACCCTACAGCAAGCCTGCAAAACCTGCTGGCTGCCTCTCCCCCCAGCCTGGATGGCTTCCAGTCCTCAATTACTTGGACATTTTCCTGCTTTCACACGGAGTCCATTTCCCCTTTTCAACACAAAGGCTTGAAGGCCCCAGAGTCTGCAGGAAGCTTGAAAGCCCCTGACCTGTAGAACTGCAAATTAAAAACCAGGTGTCACACATGCTCCGCGCTGTAGGAAAAGCTCGAGTTTTCGGCCAGTCTAATTTCATGAAAACTAGTACTACACGCTCCGCGCTGTGGGAAAAGCTGGATTTCGCCTCAGGTGTAATTTCATCAAAACTGGTACTACACGCTCCGCGCTGGGCAAAAACCACAGTGTACTACATGAATGCATAGTTTTTTCAAAACTTTAAGGTTCATGTAATGTTTCTACTTGGAATCAAGGTACTACACGCTGTTTTCCCACATTTTTTGAGTGTAGTACTCGTGCACAGGTCTGCTACACGCGCTTTCTCAAGGGTTATACGGTTTACCAGTCTTTCAAATACTCAAGTAAGGCCTCACAGTCCCCTTCAAGGGCTCCAAAACCTCATCAGGACCTCCCAGAGCCTTTTTTCCAACTTTTGCGGGCTGCCCGTTGGAAAAATCGCTGAAAAACGTGGCATCGCGCGGGTCCACATTCAGGACCGACAAACGACGAGAAACATAGGACGCATCAGAGTACCCCCCCAGTGGCAACCTGAATGGCGCCTATATGAATAAGTACAGGCCCACCACCGACCGCTTGCCACGCAGCGGTGCATTTTTATTGTCTTATGTCGGGAGCGGTCCTCACGTCGGGCAAATTTTTGGCGAGCTTCAAAAGTGTGTCTTCTCATCAGAAATCGCACAGTTTTTGGCCCTCATTTTGAGGCCAGAAATTGGGTCCCAAAACTGGGTCTGCCTGATTCGAAACTCTTAGAAAAGATCCCATTTCGGGCTTCGCTTTGGGGCCCAAAAATGGGACCCTAGAATGGGCCGTAAAACATGGCAAGTGTGCTTTCAATTTTGCGGAGACACGCAAAGCATGCACCACATGTTTGGGTCGGGCGCAAAGATAGTCAGCGGTCGCTTAAGACTGTTGGCAATAGCGTTATAACGGAACAAGTATTGCACATGACAAGCTGAATTGCAACTGCGGGGGCACTCAAACGTGTCCTACGCTTCTTGTGTCTTTTTGGGGTCTGATTTGGCTTCACTCGAGGCACATTCTCCAAACCCCCAGGCAAAGGGCCTACCTTGTCCCAAATCAATAAAATGTTGTTGAAAATCCCCTTTCCCCCATGGCAATGTTGCAACACGTTATGTCAGACCGACCTTCAGCGTCCAACATTGCCATTGGGGGCTCGGGGGCACACGCAAGGGCTTATGACCGGAGACAAGCATCCTTTTCCAGGCTCTTCAGGCTCCAAGCCCTTGCAATTTCAAGGTAGCTCTCAAGCTCGGGCTGCGCTGCTTACTGCGTTCTGCAGACCCTGCATGCAACACTGCAGCAACCTGCAGACCCTGCAGACCTGCAGCAAGCATGCGGACTCTGCAGCAAGCCTGCAGGCCCTGCAGCAGCCTGCAGCAAGCCTGCAGACCCCTGCAGCAAGCCTACAGCTGCAGGGTTTGTAGGCCCCTCGGCAAGCCTGCAGACCCTGCAGCAGCAGGCGCGGGCCCTGCCCCTGCAGCAGCACCCCTACAGCCCAGAGCCTGCAGAAACCTGCAAGCCTGCCCTGCCTCCTCCCCCCCAGCCTGGATGGCTTCCAGTCCTCAATTACTTGGACATTTTCCTGCTTTCACACGGAGTCCATTTCCCCTTTTCAACACAAAGGCTTGAAGGCCCCAGAGTCTGCAGGAAGCTTGAAAGCCCCTGACCTGTAGAACTGCAAATTAAAAACCAGGTGTCACACATGCTCCGCGCTGTAGGAAAAGCTCGATTTTTCGGCCAGTCTAATTTCATGAAAACTAGTACTACACGCTCCGCGCTGTGGGAAAAGCTGGATTTCGCCTCAGGTGTAATTTCATCAAAACTGGTACTACACGCTCCGCGCTGGGCAAAAACCACAGTGTACTACATGAATGCATAGTTTTTTCAAAACTTTAAGGTTCATGTAATGTTTCTACTTGGAATCAAGGTACTACACGCTGTTTTCCCACATTTTTTGAGTGTAGTACTCGTGCACAGGTCTGCTACACGCGCTTTCTCAAGGGTTATACGGTTTACCAGTCTTTCAAATACTCAAGTAAGGCCTCACAGTCCCCTTCAAGGGCTCCAAAACCTCATCAGGACCTCCCAGAGCCTTTTTTCCAACTTTTGCGGGCTGCCCGTTGGAAAAATCGCTGAAAAACGTGGCATCGCGCGGGTCCACATTCAGGACCGACAAACGACGAGAAACATAGGACGCATCAGAGTACCCCCCCAGTGGCAACCTGAATGGCGCCTATATGAATAAGTACAGGCCCACCACCGACCGCTTGCCACGCAGCGGTGCATTTTTATTGTCTTATGTCGGGAGCGGTCCTCACGTCGGGCAAATTTTTGGCGAGCTTCAAAAGTGTGTCTTCTCATCAGAAATCGCACAGTTTTTGGCCCTCATTTTGAGGCCAGAAATTGGGTCCCAAAACTGGGTCTGCCTGATTCGAAACTCTTAGAAAAGATCCCATTTCGGGCTTCGCTTTGGGGCCCAAAAATGGGACCCTAGAATGGGCCGTAAAACATGGCAAGTGTGCTTTCAATTTTGCGGAGACACGCAAAGCATGCACCACATGTTTGGGTCGGGCGCAAAGATAGTCAGCGGTCGCTTAAGACTGTTGGCAATAGCGTTATAACGGAACAAGTATTGCACATGACAAGCTGAATTGCAACTGCGGGGGCACTCAAACGTGTCCTACGCTTCTTGTGTCTTTTTGGGGTCTGATTTGGCTTCACTCGAGGCACATTCTCCAAACCCCCAAGCAAAGGGCCTACCTTGTCCCAAATCAATAAAATGTTGTTGAAAATCCCCTTTCCCCCATGGCAATGTTGCAACACGTTGGTTATGTCAGACCGACCTTCAGCGTCCAACATTGCCATTGGGGGCTCGGGGGCACACGCAAGGGCTTATGACCGGAGACAAGCATCCTTTTCCAGGCTCTTCAGGCTCCAAGCCCTTGCAATTTCAAGGTAGCTCTCAAGCTCGGGCTGCGCTGCTTACTGCGTTCTGCAGACCCTGCATGTAACACTGCAGCAACCTGCAGACCCTGCAGACCTGCAGCAAGCATGCGGACTCTGCAGCAAGCCTGCAGGCCCTGCAGCAGCCTGCAGCAAGCCTGCAGACCCCTGCAGCAAGCCTACAGCTGCAGGGTTTGTAGGCCCCTCGGCAAGCCTGCAGACCCTGCAGCAGCCTGCAGGCCAGCAGGGCCTGCGGGCCCTGCAGCAATGAAAAACCAAGCGGACTTTTCCACTACTCTTAGAGCCTGGTGGTTCAGCGGAGTTCTGCAATTCACAACATGCTCTCATGAAATTGGGCTCATGCCAAAATCAAGTGAAAACATCTTGTCCTATACATGAGGTGTGTACAAAGGGCAGGGATGTTAGGTTTCCTCACCCCGCCTGAGATTCGTCTGTACACTACAACGAAACTCACCGAAACCTCAAGTGAAACGAGCCTGGACACCGTAAAGCATGGTATCCGCAAGTGGCTCTCAGCATTTCACATGCAGCTGGATCTCCGTAAAGCTTGGAGTCCGTAAGGCTGCTCACTCAAAGAACATATGCTGACAGTAGCTGCAAGGAGTCAGCACTTTGTTCGGATTGCTCTGATGTACGTGGCAATTCTCGTGATGGAAACATCGGCCTCGGCCTGTGATCACAACTTGTGCAGGTGGCCCTGCACGCTCGCGAGCCCGAATGAGCTCTGTCTCCAGGGCACGGTTCTGGCGCCGCGCCTGCTCCAACTGTCTTGCAAGATCACGACTGACACGTGATGAAGCATCTGCTTTCGCCTGCTGGGCATCGGCCAGTAGGGCTTCAAGCTTCTTGACCCGCATGGTCAGCATCACAAGAATACCACCAAGAATTGTCATGACCAGCATCGTGCCGATGACGGTCGGCACCACAGCTGTGTCCCCACCACCTGCAGTGGTGGTCTGAGTAGTGGAGTTCATCTCAGCCTCCACACCCGCACCATAGCCCTGTGACCCAAGGCTCCAAGATACGTAGCTCAAGATCATGCCCGCAATGGCATAAAACGTCTCACGACAGTACAACAGCCTGTCGTGCTGTGGAATAAGCATCCACCCATCATGATCATCAGACTCTGTACCACTGCCAATGCAAAATGCAAGGCATACCAAGAAAAGAACAAAGCTGCACATCCACGACCGAGAACTGTAAGCAGTCGTAACAGCTTCCGAAGGAATTGGCATCATCATAAGAAGGAGTGCAACACGCTTCACCCATGTGCTGGACGCATCGCCGCCTACCACTGTCCGAACACGCTTGACCTGGGCCTTCATCCCTTCTGTCGCCATGGTTCGATCCCACTCTTCGGATCCCACTGGCCTGTCATGCATATCCACAAAGTCATGTAGGAACAGCAAACTCTGCAGCCGAGCTGGGGAGAGAGGCTTTGTGTGAATGTCACCAAGGTTTGCATGAGTGGAAACATACTTCATGATCAAGCGCTTCTGCTGCACTGCATCTTGCAACCAAAGCAATCGACCTTCAAAATGCTTGCTAGCCTTGGTAACCCCCTGACGCAAACAGAACGCTTTGCAGGACTGGTTGTCAACATAGACGATAAGATCGCAAGGGCTGCGGCTCATGAACTCGACCACCGCCTTCATGAAGAGTCCCTGACAGGAGCTGCCAACGGCACTGTAGTATTCACTTTCCATGGAAGACAAGCTGATGCACTTTTGCGATCGGCACACATAGTGAATATACTGCCCGTTCAGGCAGTAGCTAGCGCCTCCGTATGACCTCCTGTCCCTCTTCGACCCCGACCAATCGGCGTCCGAAAATGCCTCCAACACAAAGCGCTCAGACTCATCCTCTGAACCATGCTCGAACAGTTTCTTGGACCCAGGAGCTGTAGCCTTCATTGCTATCCCATAGTGAGCAGTGTTCACCAAATACTGGATTAACTTCGTCAACCCGATCTTCGCATGTTCTGTCGGCCTTGCCATGTAGGCGGCCAACATCCGGACAGCGTAGCCGACATCGGGCCGGTCGGTCACATGAGATGTAAAGAGCGGTTCCAACAGCTTGCCGGAATTTGCTTGCTTCAACATGCTCAAGCTCGCTGGTACGAAGTTCAGACCAACATGGTACACGCTGGCGTACATTCTCCTTGACATTCATGATCTCCTGCATGTGTGTGATGTACGAAGTTGGCTGTCGAATCGTGATCCCATGCTCTGTCAACGTGTGCAACCGCTTAAGGAAACTGAACGAATGGCCCACTTCATACGCCAACTCATATGTGATCTGGAACCTCTGCTGTACTGTTGGAATGAAGCAGTCACGGGCCCAATCGAGCGGAAGCAGGAGCAGCGAATCATCGACGTGTATCATGCCGGGACCTTTGCTCTCACTTGCATGGACACTTGTAGACTTGCTGCTAAAACGGATCACGGCAGGACACTCTTTGCACTTCTCCACTTCAAAGTGTTCTGCAAGGAAATCGTAAAAGTAGTTGAACCACTGCTGCGACCCTTCACGTTGCCCTGGGACCATTGTCTGGAACACAAAATCCTGGCCTTGGATTCGGGATACAACCGGGACTGGTTGGGGAACTTCAAGGTACGCATCCTTTATGTCCAGGGCCACCAGCGCAAACTGTTCGGAAGGGCGAGTCTTCTTCCAGGTCAGGAACAAGGCAGGGAGGAGTCGGACGATGTCGGTGCTCGTCGCGGGGCTGAACAGCCCCTCTTTGGAGTCATCAAGCCACCGGAACTCCCGGGCGCAGAGGCGGGAGCGACGGTACCACATACCGACCCCCTTTCGTTTCTTGAATCTCCATGTTCGAACAAACTTCGTCGTCAGGCCTTTCATCAAGCTCACGTCTTCATTTGGAGTGGCTGCTCTCAAGACAGACTTCTTGATAAGCCGAGCCACCTCCACACTGTCGGCCAGATCATCGAGCTCAGCCAAAATGGCGCTGTCGAGCTCAGGCTCCCTTCCATTGTCGGGAAACCACAGTCGCTCATCGTCCTCGCCAGGCGCGGCGACCACATCATCAGTGAAACTTTCGTCCTTCTCGGACGGCATGGACCAAAGATTGGCCCCAGTGTCCCAGCCATCGGGCTGATCCAGGTTGAACTCACTCTCATCATTGACCTCGTAGGTTTGGCTTCCAAATGTCACAGCTCGCAAGCGCAGCTTCTTCAAAGGAGGCAGCATAGCCTCAGGGGTGCTTGGGACTTCCTCTCTCATTGGAGGGTTTGCACCGGGCTCATCCACTGCCATGCTGCTGTCGGCTGCATTCGGAATCACTCTTGCACTCTCAGGAGGAGGAACACACCGGGCGCTGCGATTCACAGGAGCCGAGACATCGGTGTCCCCGCCCAACAGCACAGCTGGTATCCCGGGTAAGTCGTCTTCGGGCGCCACGGCTGGCGCAACAGCAGGAATGACACTGGGCTCTGCTGGTTCCACTGCAGGTGCTGGCACAACATCAGGCAGCCGTTGCTTTGGCATAGCAACGAACTTTGTTCCGACAACACCACTCCCATAGTCCCATGGAAATCCCTTCAACTCATTGTAGAGCAAGGCCTCAGTGCTCCAAGGGCGACCCACACGACGTATGGATCGGGAGAGGCGGATGCCATCTTTGCCAGCTATCACATACATGTCATTGGATGAAGACTTTCCAACAAGTATCCCCAACAGCCAGCGCTTGTCACCCTTTTGCTTTGCTTCGACTTGGCAGTACACAGGCTCTGCGAACGGTGCAATGCGGCCACCGTAACTTGCGCCGGTGGCTCTCTCATAAGCAGTCATGTTGCCGATCACGCGATAGCGGTTGATCAGCCAAGCACTGTGCACAAAAGCCCACGCAAACAAGCAGTGTGACACAGGCAACGGGAGGCCTGTTCTGGACCGGGCTTGATCAAGCAAAGTGTTAGCCAGCTTTCTCACGGAATCAACAGCCTTCTCACAGAAGCCTAGGGAACCTTTGGCACCAATGGCAGGGTTTTGTGTGATGGTTCGCAAGCCGAGACGCTGCCGCGCAGCCACAATGGCCTTCTGCAAAGCCAGGGTGGACGGCTCGTTGTCACACTTCAAGCAGATGGTGCTGTGGCCTAGACCCTGAATGAACCTTTGGAGCTCTATCCCAAGGTACCGAGTGTCACCCTTGGCTTCACAAGGAATCGCCCCGATACTCCCAGTGGCGGAGTCGTGGCACACAAGACATTTCAGGGCTTGCTGTGCATTCTCCGGCGCACTATCAAGGCTAACCATACCCTTATCTACGGTGTAACCCGTGAAGCAAAAGTCGAACTGGACAACTGGGACATCCCGAGGGCCTTGCTTGAGGAACTCCATCCGATCAGGGACCGCACGCATGGCTATGCAATGCTCACACCACGCTTGGTAAGGGACATGAGTGCATTCGTGGAGAAGACGCTCCTGGGGCGTCGGTTCCTGGGGCACAGGCTGTACCCTGGGCTGCCGTTCCCCCACTGTCTGAGCATCGGCGGCCAGCTCAAGCTCGAGGGCTAGCCGCTGCTTGTCCAAGTAGTTCTTGATGCGTGTGAAAAGACGGGTCTTGGACCCCGCAGTGCTGAGGTTCAACTTGGCGGCTGCAGTCTTCAAGACCGCCAAGCTAGAATCATCCGAAAGGACGACGCCATCAAGCGACACTGGCTCAACCTCACCGGCAGGAGCGGATTCGTCAACCTCAACCTGATCGGGCAATGGCCTGTGTACCGGCCCAGCAGCTTCACCAGACACATCTTCCAAACCTTGCATGACAACTTCCTCAGGCACGACACGGTCTTGCTCAACAGGGCCAGGCGGGTCCTGTTCACGCTTGCGGTAAAAGCTGTAGAAGTTGGGCTCTGGAAGACCTTCGGGCTCAAGCATGCCTTCAGGGAGCTGCACACCGATCTCAGACACAGGCTCAACTTTCACACGCAGATAAGTGATGACCTCAGCAACCTGTCCTCCGGGAAGCGTCGCCTCTACATCGCGGATCTGAGTCCACGGCACACAATGCTCAAGCAGAAACCAGGTGCCGCTTCGCTGCATAAGCGTGCTGCGATATGGCCAAGCAATGGGAGCGATCAAGCTGGGATCAAGGAACCGACTGGAGCGGCCCCGCCAAACGAAGTGGCCAGTGGCACCGATATGCCAGCCATACTCAATGGCTTCAAGCTCATCAGGATCAAGCTTCACTTGGATTGAGGCAACCTGCGAATGCTGCTGCGGGGAATCAGGAGAGCCACCCTCCTGCTCAACACGGCGGATCTGTGCGTTCACCGCCCACGAGTATCCTTTCAGCAGCAAAGGCACTTCAGCGCCTGTCGCATGATGGACCAAAGCCATGCCACTTGATCCAGCGGTTTCACCTTTGCAAACGGGCCACCAGCCCCTGTGCGTCAGCCGGCCCAAACTCAGGAGCGGCTGTGTAACATTGGCGACAATGCATCGCTCACGGATCACCACAGGCTTTGACCCCCCATGCAGCACGAAATCTACAAGTCGCTCAGCTTGCACATGCATCGCACCTCCTTGGGCATCGCAAACCTGCAGCGGCCTCGCATTGGCAGCGCGACCGCACGCTTGAAAGGACGCGGGGATGCATGAGATGTCGGCACCTGAGTCAATGATCACGCTGTGGCTTGGGCTAGAAACTGTTCGGACAAACTGAGGAGCAACGGTGGACTGAAGCTCAAGCTCAGCATAATCTGGGGGAGGCAAGGTCCAATCACCGTTACTATCACCGGAATCCATTCGAAAACTCTGCGGTTGGGAAGGCAAGGTCCAATCACCGTTACTATCACTGGAATCCATCCGAAAACTCTGTGGCGCAGTCACAGTTAGCATACGGACATTGGGCTCAAGAGAAAGAACGTCAGCCAAATCTGACATGTCGAACATCATGGGCTCTGCTGTCACACGACGCACAGCAGGATGATCTGACTTGCCTTGCTGAGCCTGAAGGGCACTGGCGGACGAAGGCAAAGTGGTGGAACTGCCGGCATCGGAGGCTGTGGAGGCTTGCACTTGCCTGGCACCCTTAGTCTTACCATCAAGGAAAGCCTTATACTGGTAGCAATCACGCTTGAAGTGCCCAGGCTTGTGGCACCACCCACACAGCGCCTGAGAGTCGCTCTTGGCTTTGCCACCTTTGTCACCTCTGCCTTTGCCCTTGTCGGTCCTACCACCCTTATCACCCTTGCCTTTGTCGGTCCTACCACCCTTATCACCCTTACCTTTACCCCTGCCACCCTTATACTTGCCTCGACCGCCTTTGGCAACGCGATCGACATCCATTGGCACAACATCGCCGGAATCATGAAGGCCTTTCTTGCCCTCCTGCAGCCCATAGCTGCTGGCAACACTGGATTGCCACTTTGTCTGAGCACCATCCCACCTGAGTACCAGCTCACGCAGGTCACGGTAGGTGCTGTCATCAGAGATGACCACGTTGGCATGCTGGCGAAGTTGGCCTGTCAAGCAGCTGAGGAGAGTGGCCATTTTGTTGTTTTCAGGCAGTCCACCCCTTTCAAGCTGTGCATACTCTTCAAAGGCTGCTTCAAGACGCAAAAGTTGCTGAGCAATGCCCTGCTTGGCATCAAAGCTAGGCCAGCTATTGATGGTCCGAAGAAGGGCAAGCACACGATTCCTGGTCTTGGGCATCAGGTCATTTGAGAGCAACCTCCAAGCTTCGAAGCCATTCTGGGATGGCACAGAGCGCAACAAGCGACGACCCCTTTCATAGAGAAGGCCATTCAGCATGCCATACACAATCCTCGAACGGGCCTTCGCTTGCTCACTCAAAGACTCAAGAAGAACAGGCGTGGACTGGCGTGCATACTCATGTAGCTCTTTGTCGAAGCTGGGATCCAAACATGAAAGGTATTGCTCGAACGCCCAGCTCCACTGAGGCCACTGAGCAAACTCCTCGTCACGAGTGGAGGGACGGAAGGGTTCTGGCTTGGGCAACACCTTAGTGAGGTCACTTAAACCCAAGGGCTTAGAACTGCTGGCGGTAGAAGAGTAGGCTGCTGCCTGGGCAGCTGCACTTGCAGCCTGTGTGGCTTCAGCCATACGTTGCATCAGGATCTGAAGATCGGTGGCACTCATGGTCAGTGCCCCGCCTGCACTCGAGGGACTGCCGGCGGCAAAAGGGTTCGAGGGAGCCGCTGGGACGCTTGGCCCAGTCAACTCCTCATCTGTCTCGTCATCAAGTCCTGTTCCAGCTGCGTGTGCCATTGTTCGAACAGCTAAGCACTGCAATCAATCAATCTCAATGGCGGCCTCGCCACTCTTCAAAGATCGAGTAAAGCTGACTACACGGCTGGACTCGGGCACAAGCAGATCAATTGGCTGCTCGGACGCAGCCTGCAACCTCCTGAATGAAGATCCGGAGGGCTGATTGGAGCTGAATGACAACTGAAAGGCTTCAAGATCCTTGTCAAACAGATCGTGCTCTTGCTCAGGAAAAACCACGCTCCGGACTGTCTCTTCGGGAACAGCCACGTCACAAACGTCGTCCACTGCAAAATCACGAAAAACGTCCTTCAAATGTGAATCCCTCAAACAGCGATGTGCGAATGCCCACACTTCCTCGGGGGTCTTCAAAGTCTCCAGCCTTGCCACAAGAGAATCCTGTGCTGTCACTAGGATATGCTGCCAACCGTACTCTGTCCGAGCAGCTGGCTTGTCTCGTTTCAGCAGTTGCTCAAAGTGAAGCTCAGCCACTCGCTTCCGAATGTCCTCAAGAGAAGCAACACTGGCAGCCGTTGCTGCTGCAAGCAATCCGCGGCTCGGCGCCGCGATATGGCAGGATCCTAAACTCGCTGTGACCCTGAACCCCGAAGCAGAAGGAAGCTGAAAGCACAATGGCCCCTGAACGCGAGACCCAAAAGTGAACCACGTGTGTCGGAACTGGGTCGGCCCAGCTCCGCTACCATGAAAAACCAAGCGGACTTTTCCACTACTCTTAGAGCCTGGTGGTTCAGCGGAGTTCTGCAATTCACAACATGCTCTCATGAAATTGGGCTCATGCCAAAATCACGTGAAAACATCTTGTCCTATACATGAGGTGTGTACAAAGGGCAGGGATGTTAGGTTTCCTCAAGCAAGCCTGCAGACCCCTGCAGCAAGCCTGCAGACCCTACAGACCCAGATCCTGCAGCAAACCTGCAGACCCTGCCGCACGCCGCCCCTACAGACCCTACAGCAAGCCTGCAAAACCTGCTGGCTGCCTCTCCCCCCAGCCTGGATGGCTTCCAGTCCTCAATTACTTGGACATTTTCCTGCTTTCACACGGAGTCCATTTCCCCTTTTCAACACAAAGGCTTGAAGGCCCCAGAGTCTGCAGGAAGCTTGAAAGCCCCTGACCTGTAGAACTGCAAATTAAAAACCAGGTGTCACACATGCTCCGCGCTGTAGGAAAAGCTCGATTTTTCGGCCAGTCTAATTTCATGAAAACTAGTACTACACGCTCCGCGCTGTGGGAAAAGCTGGATTTCGCCTCAGGTGTAATTTCATCAAAACTGGTACTACACGCTCCGCGCTGGGCAAAAACCACAGTGTACTACATGAATGCATAGTTTTTTCAAAACTTTAAGGTTCATGTAATGTTTCTACTTGGAATCAAGGTACTACACGCTGTTTTCCCACATTTTTTGAGTGTAGTACTCGTGCACAGGTCTGCTACACGCGCTTTCTCAAGGGTTATACGGTTTACCAGTCTTTCAAATACTCAAGTAAGGCCTCACAGTCCCCTTCAAGGGCTCCAAAACCTCATCAGGACCTCCCAGAGCCTTTTTTCCAACTTTTGCGGGCTGCCCGTTGGAAAAATCGCTGAAAAACGTGGCATCGCGCGGGTCCACATTCAGGACCGACAAACGACGAGAAACATAGGACGCATCAGAGTACCCCCCCAGTGGCAACCTGAATGGCGCCTATATGAATAAGTACAGGCCCACCACCGACCGCTTGCCACGCAGCGGTGCATTTTTATTGTCTTATGTCGGGAGCGGTCCTCACGTCGGGCAAATTTTTGGCGAGCTTCAAAAGTGTGTCTTCTCATCAGAAATCGCACAGTTTTTGGCCCTCATTTTGAGGCCAGAAATTGGGTCCCAAAACTGGGTCTGCCTGATTCGAAACTCTTAGAAAAGATCCCATTTCGGGCTTCGCTTTGGGGCCCAAAAATGGGACCCTAGAATGGGCCGTAAAACATGGCAAGTGTGCTTTCAATTTTGCGGAGACACGCAAAGCATGCACCACATGTTTGGGTCGGGCGCAAAGATAGTCAGCGGTCGCTTAAGACTGTTGGCAATAGCGTTATAACGGAACAAGTATTGCACATGACAAGCTGAATTGCAACTGCGGGGGCACTCAAACGTGTCCTACGCTTCTTGTGTCTTTTTGGGGTCTGATTTGGCTTCACTCGAGGCACATTCTCCAAACCCCCAGGCAAAGGGCCTACCTTGTCCCAAATCAATAAAATGTTGTTGAAAATCCCCTTTCCCCCATGGCAATGTTGCAACACGTTGGTCATGTCAGACCGACCTTCAGCGTCCAACATTGCCATTGGGGGCTCGGGGGCACACGCAAGGGCTTATGACCGGAGACAAGCATCCTTTTCCAGGCTCTTCAGGCTCCAAGCCCTTGCAATTTCAAGGTAGCTCTCAAGCTCGGGCTGCGCTGCTTACTGCGTTCTGCAGACCCTGCATGTAACACTGCAGCAACCTGCAGACCCTGCAGACCTGCAGCAAGCATGCGGACTCTGCAGCAAGCCTGCAGGCCCTGCAGCAGCCTGCAGCAAGCCTGCAGACCCCTGCAGCAAGCCTACAGCTGCAGGGTTTGTAGGCCCCTCGGCAAGCCTGCAGACCCTGCAGCAGCCTGCAGGCCAGCAGGGCCTGCGGGCCCAGACCCCTGCAGCAAGCCTGCAGACCCTACAGACCCAGATCCTGCAGCAAACCTGCAGACCCTGCCGCACGCCGCCCCTACAGACCCTACAGCAAGCCTGCAAAACCTGCTGGCTGCCTCTCCCCCCAGCCTGGATGGCTTCCAGTCCTCAATTACTTGGACATTTTCCTGCTTTCACACGGAGTCCATTTCCCCTTTTAAACACAAAGGCTTGAAGGCCCCAGAGTCTGCAGGAAGCTTGAAAGCCCCTGACCTGTAGAACTGCAAATTAAAAACCAGGTGTCACACATGCTCCGCGCTGTAGGAAAGCTCGATTTTTCGGCCAGTCTAATTTCATGAAAACTAGTACTACACGCTCCGCGCTGTGGGAAAAGCTGGATTTCGCCTCAGGTGTAATTTCATCAAAACTGGTACTACACGCTCCGCGCTGGGCAAAAACCACAGTGTACTACATGAATGCATAGTTTTTTCAAAACTTTAAGGTTCATGTAATGTTTCTACTTGGAATCAAGGTACTACACGCTGTTTTCCCACATTTTTTGAGTGTAGTACTCGTGCACAGGTCTGCTACACGCGCTTTCTCAAGGGTTATACGGTTTACCAGTCTTTCAAATACTCAAGTAAGGCCTCACAGTCCCCTTCAAGGGCTCCAAAACCTCATCAGGACCTCCCAGAGCCTTTTTTCCAACTTTTGCGGGCTGCCCGTTGGAAAAATCGCTGAAAAACGTGGCATCGCGCGGGTCCACATTCAGGACCGACAAACGACGAGAAACATAGGACGCATCAGAGTACCCCCCCAGTGGCAACCTGAATGGCGCCTATATGAATAAGTACAGGCCCACCACCGACCGCTTGCCACGCAGCGGTGCATTTTTATTGTCTTATGTCGGGAGCGGTCCTCACGTCGGGCAAAATTTTGGCGAGCTTCAAAAGTGTGTCTTCTCATCAGAAATCGCACAGTTTTTGGCCCTCATTTTGAGGCCAGAAATTGGGTCCCAAAACTGGGTCTGCCTGATTCGAAACTCTTAGAAAAGATCCCATTTCGGGCTTCGCTTTGGGGCCCAAAAATGGGACCCTAGAATGGGCCGTAAAACATGGCAAGTGTGCTTTCAATTTTGCGGAGACACGCAAAGCATGCACCACATGTTTGGGTCGGGCGCAAAGATAGTCAGCGGTCGCTTAAGACTGTTGGCAATAGCGTTATAACGGAACAAGTATTGCACATGACAAGCTGAATTGCAACTGCGGGGGCACTCAAACGTGTCCTACGCTTCTTGTGTCTTTTTGGGGTCTGATTTGGCTTCACTCGAGGCACATTCTCCAAACCCCCAGGCAAAGGGCCTACCTTGTCCCAAATCAATAAAATGTTGTTGAAAATCCCCTTTCCCCCATGGCAATGTTGCAACACGTTGGTTATGTCAGACCGACCTTCAGCGTCCAACATTGCCATTGGGGGCTCGGGGGCACACGCAAGGGCTTATGACCGGAGACAAGCATCCTTTTCCAGGCTCTTCAGGCTCCAAGCCCTTGCAATTTCAAGGTAGCTCTCAAGCTCGGGCTGCGCTGCTTACTGCGTTCTGCAGACCCTGCATGCAACACTGCAGCAACCTGCAGACCCTGCAGACCTGCAGCAAGCATGCGGACTCTGCAGCAAGCCTGCAGGCCCTGCAGCAGCCTGCAGCAAGCCTGCAGACCCCTGCAGCAAGCCTACAGCTGCAGGGTTTGTAGGCCCCTCGGCAAGCCTGCAGACCCTGCAGCAGCCTGCAGGCCAGCAGGGCCTGCGGGCCCTGCAGCAAGCCTGCAGACCCCTGCAGCAAGCCTGCAGACCCTACAGACCCAGATCCTGCAGCAAACCTGCAGACCCTGCCGCACGCCGCCCCTACAGACCCTACAGCAAGCCTGCAAAACCTGCTGGCTGCCTCTCCCCCCAGCCTGGATGGCTTCCAGTCCTCAATTACTTGGACATTTTCCTGCTTTCACACGGAGTCCATTTCCCCTTTTAAACACAAAGGCTTGAAGGCCCCAGAGTCTGCAGGAAGCTTGAAAGCCCCTGACCTGTAGAACTGCAAATTAAAAACCAGGTGTCACACATGCTCCGCGCTGTAGGAAAAGCTCGATTTTTCGGCCAGTCTAATTTCATGAAAACTAGTACTACACGCTCCGCGCTGTGGGAAAAGCTGGATTTCGCCTCAGGTGTAATTTCATCAAAACTGGTACTACACGCTCCGCGCTGGGCAAAAACCACAGTGTACTACATGAATGCATAGTTTTTTCAAAACTTTAAGGTTCATGTAATGTTTCTACTTGGAATCAAGGTACTACACGCTGTTTTC